TCCAGCCATATAGACCAGGTCGTGCCTTCGCTGCTTCTACATCCTCCTTAAGATCCCAGTATCCAAGGCCCTCATTATTGTTAATGCAGGCCCTTGCGTAGCAGATCAGCGCTGTTAGCTTCAATGCAACAGGATGTGATGCATTAAGAGAAGAGACTAAGACTTAACTAACTCTCCTGTCAGGCATCTATGTACCACTTAAGCAGCTATTAATCTACTGTGCCTTGCACAGCTAGACTTGTCCTTCTGAGCCTGAGGACTATTCTAGTTGCCATATGGCTGCTGTTGCAATCTTATTCCACATGGGAAAGTGTGTAATACTATTTAAAAGTTCCCAAAACTGGGGTGGGGGGGAGGAGAGGAGGAGGAGGACTAAGACCCACTCACATAGTTCACTAGCCTACTGATTAGGTTACGCAGTGGCATAAATCCCATGGCCTCTAAAAACTTGGTTTGTTCCAGATGCTGTTGCAGAACTTACTCTGAAATTACCCTGAGGTCACCTGGGCTGGGCCTTCTAGCTCCGGGATGCACAAAAACACAGAAGATGTCAGCCGAAAGCTTTTGACGTTCTTCTGAGCCTGAAGCATTGAGAAGTAGGAACAGACGGGGTTGTACCAATTGTCCCTCTGCATAATTACTCTTGAGAAAATTCCTTCTGGCTCCATGCAGTGGCACCAGCCACTGGGGAGTAATAAGGTTTGAAAGTTTCTGTCTGGACAGTGTCACAAGCCGCAGGACATTGGTTTTGGGCACCAGGAGCGACCCCCTTCAGAAAGGTCAGAGCTGGGTCACATAATTCTGGGAGCATCTCTAGTTACTGCCATTATAGCATTACATGATGATTAGGGCTGCCTGGGAGGGGGCAGCCCAAAAAACTACCTTCCTTGAACAATACATCAAGGCTTAGAAGAAATTTTCATCTTGAATCTGGACTGAACGTCAAAGATATGAGATTATTGGTGGGAAGGGCTATCTAGGAAAATTCCACTTTGGGAGAACCAACAAGGAATTGTTCAGCTTGCAAGCTGCTTACATGGAAGGTGCCTGTTAATTCTCACTAAGTGGAGTTGACAAGAGCATCCAGACAGGCACCCAAGCAGCTGTCAGTTTGATTTTCCCAGTGGACAATCAACATTGCAATTCCCTTACGGAATTTACTGAGAATCTGAGGAGAAGGACCTTCTCCATCCAAGCATCAGTCTGATGGGAAATTCCTGATCAGCTCCAGTGGTAACCACTAGCCTACCTTCCTTGCATGCGAGAAACAAAACTGTGGATGAACCTTTTGCAGTTCAGAGACTCCTGGGGCAGAACTTCAGCTGATGCAAATTGGCACATATCCTTTGATGTCAATGCGACAAAGCTCCTTGATACCAACGGAGTAGCGGACCCCCAGTTTCTAACAGTAAGTGCACATGAACTAGTTATGCTGAAGTATCAGGGTCAAGTTCTTTTTTGTGCATCTGCTACTTTGCAGAGACTGCTCACGTGTACACTTTTACTTCACAGCAAATGAAAGCTAAGTCACAGTGGCTTAGCTAGCAGTGAGAGAGGTAAGCTACTATGATTTGGCTTTCATGGAACGTCATGCACTTGGATAGTTACCCCAGAGTAGGTGATGTACTGTACAGTGAATACCCAATCCCCTTTACCTTGCAGTAATTAGTTCACATGCACATACCCTAAGGCCACAACTGTTAATTACATTCATCTAACATCACCCCTTATATAAATGGCTACAGAATTTCCCAGCAATCTCTGCAAGGGAGGAAAATACAATTTTGCAAATGTAATTCTTCTACCAGGCACTGGATAGCAGCAACAATGGCTGGGTTCAAATTTAAGGGTTTACACATACTTTCTATTCTGACTCCATTCGTTCTGTTCAGAAGCCTGGGAAAATAAATTGCAGCTACCTTTCTATAACAAACAGACTTTCCCACTCACAAGCAATAGTCAACTAAAACAGGGTTTACTAAAGAGCAAAGGGGACAATACACAACCCTGAAGAAAATAACAGAAATCCCAGTTAAGTTTTTCTCTCACTCGCTGGAAAACCAGCCCAGGGGTGTTACTACCTATCCCAGGCTGTTGGGATGGGAGACTCATCCAGTGCTGCCAGTCAGGGGCTCTTCTGCCTGTGCCAGTCAAAAGATGCAGGTGCTTGGAAGCGAGGCCTGCATCAGAGTTCACTGCTGCTCCATTGTGGGGCGTCACTACTCCTTCATCTCCTCTGTTGTGGGTCACCACTTCTCTGCCACTGAGACCTGCTGCTCCACGTCACTGGTGGTGCCTTTCAAATGCCACTCTGTCTCTAGGGGTGTGTCCCGATGAGCACATATGCAGTTTGCAGCACCTCAAACCTGTTTGAGGCACCACAAACTGCACACAGTGCATGTGCACCTGTTCATCATGCTGCTAATTTGAGGCACCGAGACAGCTGTGAAAACAGGGCAGTAGGCAGCCCAGGGCTGCCTGCTTTGCCATTTTCATGTGCTGCAGAGCCCCCGCGCTGAGGCACCCTGCGTCCCACCGTAGAGATGGGGGAGCAGGCAGCCTAGGGAAGCCTGCTCCCTTAAATAATAAAAACAGGCAAGTAGTCCTCAAACCTCTGAACATGCATACGAATTAGGGGATGCAGAGAAGGAATGCATCGTGGACATAACCACAGACGAACTTGTATAACCTAAGCAGGGTTACACAAACCTCCCAAAATCTTCTTTGAGCTGCCAGCATGCACAAAACTGTATACCAGGTGAGCTCAATTGCACCTTTTATTTAAACCCACTTTTATGATTAGGCTTAATATCACCACCCGCTTTCTGCCCTGGGTTTCAGCCATCGACATGGAGCAAGTGGGCTCACTTCAGTGGAGTCTCAATGCATTTGGCCTGTAATGTTAGGAAGCAGCTTGAGCTGGGTAGTGGCATGGAGAAATCTCCCAAAGTCTCAGCTGGAAGGAGTGGACTGCTGAGACTGTAGCTGTTTTCCCCTTTGGCTAATCTTTCTCCCCACTCCATGCCTGGACTATACCCATGAATTGTGAACCCGGTAGTGACTCAGTTCAAGCTGAGGTTTTCAGTTTTCAGATTTAGTCCCAGCTCTAACCAACAACGAGACAGCAGTGCCCTCCCACCCCCCAATGCTCAGCCTCACTGAATTAGCAATGCACATCACTGACAAAATGTAAATAGGGCCCTGCAGCTCTCCCCAGCAGCACATTGTGAGGTGGTGGTTGAGGAGCATGGACTGGAATCTCAAGGCAGGTTCCACTTGGGGAGAATGAGCAGCCAATTCCTGCAAGGGCAGGCAGCCCCTGGGCAGCTTGTTGAGAACAATTGACTAAGGACACTTGAAACCCAATAGATCTGTACCTCTGACAAGCAGCCTGACATGCTGACCCCTCTTGTGAAGGCTGACAGCTCCCGGGCTTCACTCGCCCGCTCTCTTTGCCTTGACAGCTCAGGATGGATGCAATCGCCCTTGTCATGCTTGTTAGGCTCTCTGCCCCCACCTGTTAGGTCTCATTCAAGCCAATTCAATAAAACAATTTGTGGCTGTGATGCCATCTCTATTGAAGTTTGTGTACTCGGCTGCTTTGAGGGCTGGGAGGCTCCTGGCTCTGTGCAGCCTGATGCCCTACTAAGGAGATCACTTTGAGAAACAGGTTTCTAACTTCATTTCTCAGCTTGCTGGAGGTCTAGGGGGCTTCCCAATTACTTCGTCTATTGATGAAGAGATGCTGACAAAACCACTTACAAGGTTCTCCTGGAGGGAAGGCAAAGTGACAATGGCATTTCTTGTGATGTCACTATAAATAGTGTTTTCTTAAAGCCCCAGCTCCTGGAGTCAGGTGATTAGATGAGAATCTCAGCTGCTGCTTTTTTTTTTTTTTTTTT